CTTCTGTTCCAGGCGCGCTCATCTGTCCCCGTATGTTGCTTGCTTGCTAGGTGTGTACTGTGGATACATGACATTGACACGGCCCTGCACTCCACACCCTCAGTGACTCTAATTCGGTATGTACTGCGTGAAACCTTGCAAAGAGCTGACAGAATTCTGTGGAAGCGATGTTGCTTTGTGGATAAAAAACTACAGAGTCGCGTGAAACTCCATAGGAAGCGGATTTTCGGTGAGAGAGATTGACAGTTGGCCTGCCCTCGTTTGACTGGACAGGTGTCCGTGGATCTCGAAATCCAGAGCCGAGGCCCTGGCCTGGCTCCTCGTAGACTTCGCTCGGATTTGGGGTCTGGGTTCAGAGAGACTGTGGAAGCTACTTCCGTGTTCGTGATCACCATCATCATTATCACGGTCATGACAGTGCTAGTCTGCTAGTCATTATGTCTCACGTTTACCATACTTATCAGAAGCATCATCAACATCAGACGCATGATAATCCTCAACATAAACATCGCAGCCAGAGTCATCATAGCTGTCATAATCGTCATGATTACCGTGGTTGTCATCAGAGAATCAGTATCACTTCTTTACCATCATCTTCCGCCATTCGTCGCAGGTGTTGGCGTTGTCGGCATTGTGCTGGTGATACTCATCCTGTCCTGCTCCTCCGCCTCCTCCTCCTCCACCTCCGCCTCTGTCTCCTCAAGCTCCCCCTCTTGATCACCCACACATGCCCCATCTTTCGGCAAGCGATGCACTAAGCCAAGCATCAGTTCCTGTGCGAGTATCGGCTGAAATGCCAGACTCTGTCCGTGCCGAGGCTTGACCAACTTGAAATATGCCGTCGAAGAAGAAGCAGCAGCTGTAGCCACCGAGGCGGAGGCTGGTCCTTTCTGTAGCCAAAGAGCTCCTCTTGAACATAAGTCGGTCCCCCAGCATAGAACAGATCGATCGCGTTGCACGCCTTTTCGGGTACTGCACTGGATTTTGACTCTCCGCAAGATCTGATCTTCAAGAGTATTTCCTGCACGCACGGCATCCCGCAGGCCGCACGCGACGTGGGACAGGCAGCCTTGGACCAGACTGAGGCCTTGGGGCTGAGGGAGCCGACAACGCCTCTGAACCCCAACCTCAAGCGCTCAACCCCTCGAACCCATGGAGGCACCCCTGGACCCGCAAAGGTTCTCTGCTCCCTGAAACACCAAATCCTCGATTGGCGCCTGGAGGCCGAACTGCTTCAGGAGAAGGCTGAAGCCCTGGATGCCAGCGTTGCAGAAGCACAGGTGCGGTTCGCTTCACTTCGGCTTCGGGTCAAGGACAAAAGCTCAACTGTTTAGTGCCTTAATGACCCAAGGTTTCTGGTTCAGTGAAAGAGGTCATGTTGTGACATAGCAGGATGGCGCAAGCAGCGACTTGGCGAAGCCACGGTTTTTTGCAGTATGTAGGAATCTTGTTAAACCTAACCCTTAAGCCCCAACCCCAGACATCCTGCAGTCTTTATCTCTCACTCTCTCTCTCTCTCTGTCTGTCTGTCCGTCCGTCCGTCGCTGTCGCTGTCGCTGTCGCTGTCGCTGTCGCTGTCGCTGTCGCTGTCGCTGTCGCTGTCGCTGTCGCTGTCGCTGTCTCTCTCTCTCTCTCTCTCTCTCTCTGTCTCTCGCTCACAGACCTTCCTCGGAGGGCGTGCCCCTTGAACATTCCTGTGAAGATAAAGTGGCCATTAGGGGTTTGGGTTTGTGGGGTGCCGTTCAGAGCAGCTGAGGGCTTGAAGCCAAATCTCTGTGCCCTCGAAGCCGAACCCGGAGCTCTAAGCCCAGGTCCCAAGATACACAACCCCAGTCTCCGAAGCCTGTCGCCCTCAAGCCCAAGGCCCCGAAGCCACGCCAGCCAAAAAGCTTGACAGCGCAGGCCACAGAGCTGGGTGGAGCTGAAGCTGCCGCCGGTGCACAGGCGGCGGAGGTCCGTTGCAAAGGGACCCTGGGGTTGGAAACAGGAAAAGTATATAGTACTACAGTAGGAAGAAGCGGGTTAGAGCTCGGCGTAAAGCCTTTGCAATTTATATGGCATATACGTGTATGGCATATATGGTGAAGACTTGAGGTTTACATGATAGGTGTACGGTTGAGCAGCAGGGGCGTGCGTCTGAGCTACGGGCTAGAACTCCTAGTGCACGGTTGGGTGAGCCAATCACGTGTGCCTGCGTCTGATGAGAGTCGATTTGGTCTTTCACACGGCCCTCAAGTCACCGGCAATAAACCGAAGTAGAACCGTGGAAGCAGTAGCCTTTGAACGGTGCCATCCTGTATGCTTGCTCGAGGACCAATCAGGTCCTGTAGAATTTGAACGTTGTATCACGAATCCCAACAGCCCCCCTTGCACGCCAGGATGTTGGTAGCTCGGAAGTTGCCGAGCAGGTCGAGGAGGTGGCCTCGAGCGTTGTGAAAGGCTTAGGCGGGCAGCTGAGCACGCGAAGTCTAGCTTGCTGTGTGAGGCGCTCCTCTTTTGGTGTCCGACGCAGTGCGAACTACAATGCCATTTCTGGTTCCCCGATTTTTTTTGTGCTTAAGACTCAGACTTGCGTTCAGGGCTTCAGGCTCATGTGTGTGCTTCCGCTCTCTGCGCAGTTTGTTACCCGGAGCTGTCGCCATCACTATGATCGTAGCCGTTCTTGTTGAACACAGTGCACGGTTCAAAAGGTGAGCTACCTGCCAACGGTATGGCTTCGGTGGGAGCTTCTGAAGCAGTTGCAGATGCCGAGCCCTCAGAAACCTGCATCATCAAGACTGCATGATGAATAATGCCAGAGCCATGCTGATTGCTGTTACTATTCTTCCTTCCGGCTTCTGACCACAACCCTAAACCCGACATACCAAGATCCCTGAACCCAATAGCCTGAAGCATGACTAACCGTGCAAGTCGACCTTGCAAGTCCTGCTACCGCCGCAATGTCAGCCCCAGTTTGATTTCAATCCCGAATAAGACCTGTAGTGCACTGCAATGCCCAGCACCGACAGGCTAAAAGGCGCAGCCGATTTGCAGAGTCTTGTGGGTAATCTGACGGAAGTGCCAGAGTCTCCTGGGAGGTGCCGGAGGCCTCGGGAGAGAAAGAAGTAACAAAAATCCAGTCCAAGCCAGGTCAAAACCAGGATGGAACCCTAAAAGCTGAGTCGGCTTCAGGCAGCTGCGGAGGCTGTGGCTGGAGCCGCTGTTTCTTCCGTGGGAGTGGTTGGTGCCCGAGCTTCCCTGCAATAGGACGAAACTCCTACTGAGAACGCGAATACTATCACGAACACCACACTCACGCTTCTACTCCCACCAACACCGCCACCACTACAACTTACGCTTCCAATACTGGCGATATTGATAGCGACAGTGCCAGCAGCTGCTAGCAACATCAATGGTGACAACAAGTACGTCTCTTGGTATGACCATTTCTGTCAGTAGACCACTGCGAGGGCTACTCCACTGCGAGGGCTACTCCGACTCTCGATTAGAGTCAGTTCTTGGCGGTAGTGATGGTGGTTTAGTACGAGAAGTCGTCGTCCTCGCTCCTCCTCTTTGTCAGCGTAACAGCCTGAACCACAAAAGCTCGCAGAGACTGCGTGTCGAATCCTTTCAAGCGCTCTTGGTGGTTGATTGACGAAGGATGCTGCGCTGGCTGGCGCCGCGGGTGCCATTGCAGAGCAGGGCCCAAAGGTGGTCGTGGCTGCTCAGGATGCTACCGTCGGGTTTGGAGCTTCTAATTCAGGGCTTTTCCTGAATCTGGGGTTGGGTTTGTTGGTCACTTCGGACTAGAAATGATGAAATGATCGTCAACATGACCACCATTGCCACTGCGCACGTTGAAGGGATTGTCAGCGTGTCTGCGATCAAATTTACTGCCGTTGTGACTTCCCCGAAGCCCGAACCGACTATGTCCCAAGCTCCCAAGCTCCCACCCTCTGAACAAATCACATCCCCAACCACACATCCCAAATCCTACCCTTTAATTCCCATACTCGACCTTATGCTCCAGGAAGAGTGGGCCCTGGGCTCCGAAGAGATCCAGGCTGCAAACGACGAGCGTTGCAGCCTCAGCCAAACCCGAAACTCTCTGATCCTTGGACCTTGAAACCTGAACCCTAACTTTGACTCCGGCTGAGCGCGACTGCTTGCGAATCTGTTTTTGTCGTAAGTGGGAGCTATGGTCGACAACACCCTGTTCGGTCTTGGGCTGCTGCTCAGGCGAAAGGAAAAGTGTGTTCTGGTCAAAACATTTCTCTCCAGAAATGCACAAAGCTGCGTCGCACGAGCAGAGATCAAGCCCCAAGCCGCTTAGCCCTAAACCGCAAACTGACAAAAAAGCTTAAGCGTCAGGCAGTGTGCTTGTCATTGTCGTGGGATTGTGACTTCAGGCTGAAGGTAGAGGATCTCGGGCTCTGGACAGGATGAGGGCAGAACAGGTAGCTCAAGGTTTTAAGCTTGTCGGGCTTTCTGGGTTGTGAAGCTCTCAACCCTGTGGCCCAGACCTCCTGCCAAAACTCGTACAAACTAAGACCTGGTAGCAGCTGGAGTCAGGTTTGGCTGTCGAGAAGGGAGTGCAAGCAGCCGCTCTGGAGGCGGGGCTCCGTTGGATCATCATCGTTACGGTCACGGCAATTCTTGTGATGTTTCTAGCAGTGGAAACGGCGATGAATATGCTGTTGACGAATAGTGGTGATGATCGTGATTGTGGGTGTGCTGGCAATGGTGAGACGAGGATGGCTTGATCATGTATGAGTTGGACCGATACGATGATGTTGCTCATCATGTTGTTGATGATGGTGAAGAAGAAGATGATGATGATGACGTTGAAGATGAAGATCAGTGACGATGATGATGACGAAGATGATGTTGCTGCTGGTTGTGTTGTTGTTGGTGGTGATGACGATGATGATGATGGTGATGATGATGATGATGAAGGCGACGACCAAGACGACTAGACGAGTGGAATGACCGACAAGATCAAGACGGCAGCGACGTTGACGATGACTGCGAGCATCATGATGATGACGGCTGATGGTGACGGTGATGGCGACAAGCGTCCTGGTGGCGAGAATGAAGACAGTCAGAGTTGCATAAATGGCAAATGGCTTGGCTCTGCTTGTGATGACGTTTAATGTGCTTGTTGCAGCGTTAAGTCCGTCAACTGTGATTGTTGTGAGCATTGGGATCACAACAAGCACCGTGGCGATGGTGATGATTGTAGCGATGCTTGACGATGGTGGATGTCACCACGGTGGTGAAGATGGTGATGCTGATGATAGTGGTGACGGTGGTGAGGATTGCAATGGTTGTGATGGCGGTGAGGATGGGGTGATGATGCGTGGTGAGGCCGCTGGTTGCACTGCCTACGTCAATGTGATCTTCATCTGGGTCATGCATATTGTCTCGTGGTCATGTGCACATTGCTCGTATTCCTGCGCCTCCTCGTCCTCCTGCTCCTCTTCACCCTCGTCGTGATCGTCGTCGCAGCACAGTAGTAGTAGGCAGTAACGGCAGTACTGCTTGTCATACTTCTTGGTGCTGCTTCTTTTCTGCAGCTCCGATCCGGGTTTCCTGTATGCCTGCGAGGGTCTGTGATTTCCTGTTTCAGCCGCGAGTCTACAAAAGCACATAATCTCTGCGTGCTTGCGTGCCAGGGCGATGTTCCAGTTCTCGAAGCTGGATCATACAGCTCCCATGACGCAGCCGTTGCGAGCGCGCTGACAGCTGTCGGGGGACATAGCATGCTGAATGCCGACTGCTGTGTACGTAGAAAGCAGCAGTGTGTCGCAGAAAGGCCGGATACCTGGCGGCTGCGTCTGCAGCACAGATGGTGGTGCTAATGGTCCAGGCTGGCTTGCAGCGTCCCGTCAGAATGCTTACCCTTCAACTGCTCCAGTCTTCTCGCTGCCAGGGTCCTCTGGCACTGGTCGTTCTCACACAGTGGCTCCTCTCTGCTGGTGCCCAGAACTCAGTTTCCAAGACTGCCTCTCAGCCGCGAGTGCAAGCGCAAGGGGCCTTGTTGTTCAGGCAAGCACCATGCACCAGGTTGCCAAGGTGAGAACTCAAGCCGCGAGCCCAGTAGCAGTTTTCCAGAGATCTTGCCGACGGGCGAAATATCCGGGCAAGTCTGCAGGACTACGACTCCTTGTGGCTTACCGGCCTGGTTGCCCAGGTGGCTCTGGCTGCGACCTTGGCCACATGCATACCCACGTCATTTTGAGCTTCACTGGCTGATGTTTTTGTGGAAGTTCCAAGCTGTCATCAGTATGGGGCCGTGGCGAGCATGATGGTGAACCCGTGGGCGGACATCGTAGTCATGGCATCAAGGTCGGATTTAGGGAGTTTGTGTCGCAATCTCTCCACTCAGTCTGGGAGGTTCGAGGAGGTCGGCGATGCAGCTGCCCAGCAACTGTGGGGAGCCTCTGCGGCGGGCTCGCACGTGTTTCGAACTCACAACGTCCGGCCTGAGGTCCTCGCTGCCGTCACTCGCAACCAAGGACAGGGCTTTGGGCCAGGGCACTTCTGCTGCTGGGGTCCTGTCCGTGTCGAGGCCTTCTCTGTGCTTGGAGACTCCCCGGCGAGCCCGAGGCAGCAAAACTCGTTCGGAGCTCAACGGAGCGAACTCTCTCTTCCTTCTGCATCTCTCGCCGTTGAAGGTCCGCACAGCCCACGGAGGTGTGGGGCTTTATAGCCTGAGACAGAGAGAGAGAGAGAGAGAGAGAGCAGGAATGCACGAAGGAAGACAACAGAGAACACGGTCGTGATGAGGCTTCGTCTGAACCTGTGCGGAGACTGGGCTGGAATCTAGGAGTGGGGCGCCAAGTGCAGTGTCTAGATGATTCTTGCAAGCCTAAGTCCAAGCCTTTAAGCTTGTCCTTTCCAAGGGCTGGGTCTCGGACGTTGCGCGGAGCCCAAGATGCAACAGAGCTCTTCAAAAGGACAGGTTGTTCAATTCCTGGCACGCCCTGCAGCGTCTCTTGAGCCTCGAGCTTGCGAACTACAACTCTTACGATCACCAGGGCACTTGTTTTGAACGTTTTGCAGTGCTTTCAAACGCTGCATACGTGCTGCATCCGTTGCAGTCCCATAGCTCAGCAGATGACACGAGAAGCTCGGCCTTTGTTGGTACGGCGCGGACGCTTTGGGGCATAAGCCATGGGTGCCTGAGCCTGATATTCATGAGAAACAGAGTCATATCGTGCAGGCGTGCAGGTAGGTGATCGTCTGTTTGACAGAGTCTCTGTTAAGTGTACAGTATTTGTTGCTTGGATTCAGAGCTTGGGTTGTTTTCCACATGTATCAAGGTTGGGCCACTTCCGGCCACGGCCGCAAAATTCCAGACCCATGTCGCATTCGTTTTACGAAGCCAGCAAAGAGCCTGCAAGGATTGAAGAAGCAGGGGGCGTCGCAAGATGATGAGCCCTTCCGCAAGCTCGCTACCGAGGTCCCGATTGTCCGTCTGGGGTGCAATCGAAAACGGATGTGTTGAACGGGGGCTTGCGTATTCGTGGACTAGGAAGAGGTTAAGGGCCTCAAGCTCTGAATGCACCGTGTGTTGAGGTGCTTCTGGAGCAACTTTTTTCTCAGAAGCTCCAATCTGCGGAGTTTCCACGAGGTCTTGGATCTCTCGCTCTTTGCGCCCGAGACAAGCAGAAATTTCGAGAGCGATCAGGCCAGGGGCCTTGGACGGTGCCTCTTACAGGGCTGCTTCCGTGCACGTGGTGGTTTGGGGCTCTATTCCTGCTCCCCACTTTACGTCATGCTTCTAAGCATACGATGCTATGCCTATGTATCCGTACACATGTACATGTCGTATGTGTAAATGTATATGTATGTGCTTGTATATGAGGGTGCGCTTATGTGCATTTTTATGTGCATGCGTACCGACACACGTATCAGTCTAAGTGCATGTACATGCACACATGCAGACACGTGTGAACTATACAGACAGGCACTTACAGGGCTCAGAGCAAGCAGGGCTCACGACTCCGAGTGTCACTGACAGGAGTCGGACATCACCTACTGTCTCCTGCTCAGTGTGCTGAGCTCCAAGCGGACTCTGGGTCTAGGAGCCTACTGGGACGAGGACACGGGGAGTTAAACTAGGGGATATTCTAAACTGGCGTCCAGGGGTTCTTCGCAGAGCAAGCTGCGAGCGAAAGGGGTACTCAAGCAGTAAAGCCCGACTTGGCGTAGAATATCGTGGGGCTTACATTAACTTTAACTCGCCGCATGGAGAACCATTTGGAGCAAGTTTCTGCGTCTCTCGTTTCGCTTGCGAGCTGACCAGGAAGACGAGGAGAAACGGGTCTGCCTGCTTGTCTTGGCGGTGGAGGACTGTGCCACGAGGTCTCCAGCTTTGTTGGGGGCTTGGTCTTTGGTGGCTCGCCCTGGATGTTCATGCTCAGTGTTCCTGGGTGTCCTTGATTCGCCTCAGCTGTTTTGGAGCAGTTTGCTTGTTGTTCGGCTAATGCCGTTTCTGTTATTGTAATGTTTATTCTCATTTCGGCATTCTCTTTTGTCTGCGGGGTGGAGGCCCTGAGTGCTGGGCGGATGGCGCATACTGTCCCATCAGCCAGTCCATGCACGTCTCGTGACAAGACACCTCCAGCTGAGCGCGCAATTTCAAGGGCACGGTTGGATTAGCTTCTAATGGCCGCTCTTGTTAACACTTTGGTGTGACAGAAAAGTTGTATCACATGTAAGGAAGCACAACGGAACAGACGAATGAAAAGAGCACCTTCACTATGCCAGCCGGGTAATATGCTCAAACATTTTAGCGGTTGCCAGCTAGAGCTTTTCAAACAAATCTTGGTAAGGGCGCCCCTGGCCCTTGTCACCCCATTGTTTTCTGAAATTTCATTCCGTGTAAGAATGTACAGGGGATATAGCATATCGTGTGGTAGCAATGTCAACCCTGCTGTTTCGTTCGGCTTCGAGAGGATTAAGCCCTTCGGGCCTTGCAAACTCTGCATTGTCGTACACATTGTGTAGGACGGAGCAAGGGGTCTCGAAGAGGGCCGAGACCTGGTCCTGTCAGGCTGACAGTAAGTGTTGAAGTGATCCATATCCTCGGATCCCAGACGTGAATAAGAATATCAACACTCGTTTGCATACGGGCTAGCAGAGCAAGCGTAGTTATTTCCAGGGACCAGGTCCTAGTACCCTGTTGCCTGCAGAGGGTCTGCAGGATGCGGCGGTGCTGCTACGCACACACGCCTCGGGCGGCTGGCTGCCAACCCAGGCAGCTGGGTTTTGGCGTGGTTCCCCAGAAATTTCACGCGTTTGTGAATCGCCCGAGGTCAAGGATGTTCTGTCGAACCCCGGTGTGGCGAAGATCCATGCAGGAGCTCCGAAACATCACAGGTTCCAACTCAGGCTTGGCGCTAATTAAGACCCGTCCTGGCAGGAGATGGGAACGAGTTGCGGGAGAGAATCCGGACATCGTTTGGGGTGGACCTGCGTGGTGAGCTGGATCTAAGGACAGGATTCGGACATGACCAGGCTGAAACTATCAAGACCTTCACACTACTGGTGGCTCTACTCAGTACAGTAGACGATGCAGGGGTGCAGACTGTTTTTTCGGAAGGGCCAGTGAGAATGGGAGCTCAAACGGCTCTTAATGAATCCGATGATGTCAGGACACGGGCAAAAGCACCTCAAGAGCCTTAGCTGAATGGAGTTGAGTGGGTTGCGGCACATCTCAGCCGGAGAATTCCAAGGCTACAGACGAAACCGACCAAACTCCAGAAATTGGCAATCCGAGGATGTGGAGGCCCGGCTAGAGGACCTCTCCTTGACCGGGGAGTCTGATTGGCTGCCTGGCGAATTTGTGACTTCTTAGAGGCTTCCGTGCTCCGAGGTTGAAGCATTTGTGGACTCCGAACCTTGTCAATCTGAGCCTTCGATCGTCGCATGTGTCAAGAAGACCTCCAGAAACCCTTCCTTGACTCGTGGAGGAATCTGGTTTGGTCTTTCGTCGAATTGTGAAGTGGTGTTCTTCGGTGATCTTCGGTGATTTTTTAGAATGCACGCAGTTGCAGTGAATCTGTAAGTATATAGTACATATATATATATATATATACACAGCCATTCATGCATCCATCCGTCCATAAATCCACAAATCCATCCATCCATCCATCCGTCCACGCAGCCAGCCAGCCGGCCATTGATGGATGCATCCATGCATGCCTACATGCACATGTTTCTACTCTGCAATGCTGTAATCATCCAAAGCCAGGAGGCTACTCCAGGAGCAGTTTATAAAGCAGGTCCTTCCGGCCCAACTGCTTAAGAGTTCAAGCCAGCGCAGGCCAGGTGTGTGTGCTGTTTCCTGCAATCACATCAGAGCCCTCACCAAAATAAAACCGTTGCCATGAAGCTCTGAACTTTATAGCTCATCTTTATCTGGTTGGTGTCTGAGACCTTGGAAAAACTTCCACTTACCAGGCCTTTGATCGGTTTCCAGGCCCTTGCATATCCAAATTTACTGGGGCACGTACCATCATCGCCCTCACGCAAAAGTTACCAGCTGCCCCCTTCAAACACTCCGCAGTGATTCTGGTGAGGACCGTATGTAGTCTTGCACTCGAGGGCGATTCATTCCTCATGTTGGATGCATTAATTACCCATTACAACCCTGCTACACGGCCTATCGGAATCCGGCCCCACTCAAAACGTGATGTTTTCAAAGCCGTCATATGTTTCTATACTATGTGGTCAAGCGTGACCGTGATGACATGCAAAATACTGATAGCCTTCCGATCTATTTTGCATCCAGACTTGCGCTGCATTTCATAAGGGCACGAGTGCAAATGCGATTATTCAGTGCATCGGCTGCTCTGCATGAACGTCATGAGCAGATAGGGCTACATTGCACACCACACCAAGATCCACACATACATACGCAACGTATGCAACATACATACAATATTTACGTATACATACACATACACATACACGTACACGTACATGTAGGCGTAGCCGTATACGTATACACATATATATATATACATATGCATGTACCTGCATGTATACAAATTCATATAGACATATACATGGCTTACATGTACATGTGCATGTAAATCCCTTATCCGCACGCATCGATATCTGCATCTGTAACTGTATCTGTAGGTATTTATGAGGGTATGTATGTATATACACATACGTATGCATGCATATACAGCCGCATACATGCTGCGCATGTGCTCATAGCTATGTGAACACGTAGATATTCGTGGTTGCGTTGATGGTCCAGTTGATAGTCGTGCATTCTGCCAAGGTCGTCGGTCGAGCTCGAGGCGCAGCAAGTCGAAGTCGCTGCCAAGCGCGCGCTCCTATGCTGGAAACATGCGGAACAGCTGCAACCGAAGGCAAATGGTTCCGTTTGCATGACACATGATGTATTCTTGGAGCTGACGTGGGTTGTTGCATGAATGCCGCTTGTGCTGTCGCAGTCCCATGCTCCCGTTCTCAATCGGTTTCTTGCCTATGATGCTCCTAAGCTTGCTGATTCGGAGCAGTGGCCTCGGGGTCTCTAAAGATTCATGCAGATTCCGATAGTTTCATCACTCTCATGTTTTATCAACGTATATGGACTCCACCGATCATGCAAGAGGCCGCTCCACAGCCGCAGCCTGTGTCACAACGAGTATGGGCTCAACAGTGCCGCTTGGTTTGCAGAGCCAAACTCTTGGAAAGGGCGAAACAGCAAGTCAATCTTTCTGAGGGTCAGCCCACTTGCCGGAGGCCTGCCGTGTTACGTTTTGCAGCTGAAGGTAACGAGGCTTGATGGCCAATGTAACCAGGCAAAGGTTCACACTAGTGGTGCAAGACTGTAACCGTCTACAGTACCGATAACTTTTCAACACAACCCTGCCTTCTCAAACTCTGATGTAAGACTTCTGGCCAATCCTCAAACTCCGGTGAGTCCCGAAGCCCTTCGGCCCCCCTTTGCTGTCACAGGTGTAGTTCGGCGCAATGATGGCCTGTACTGCTGGGCCTGCCAGGCCCGTGGAGGATTGTGAGGGTCGCATGATCGATCCTGAGATTGCTTGCGCTGTTTTCGGAGCAACTTCTAGGGTATAAGGGCTGGGGGAGTTGTGTAGTTCGCCGAAATCTGAAGTGATCTCGATGATGGCTCTGTAGCCGGCTCGGGCGACGATTCCCAACTGTTGCCCTGCAGTTCATCAGGCCGGGCCCGTTCCGACTGACGCCGACATGCAGAAGCACATAGATGGAGCAGCCCGGGTGCACTAAATCTGGAGCAGCTGCTGCTACTTCTGCTGCACCAGCACCAGCACCAGCACCAGCACCAGCACCAGCACCAGCACCAGCACCAGCACCAGCACCAGCACCAGCACCAGCACCAGCACCAGCACCATCACCAGCACCAGCACCAGCACCAGCACCAGCACCAGCACCAGCACCAGCACCAGCACCAGCACCAGCACCAGCACCAGCACCAGCACCGCCACCCGCCGCCACCCGCCACCCGCCGCCCGCCGCCCGCCGCCCGCCACCCGCCACCCGCCACCCGCCACCACTGCCACCACTGCCACCACTGCCACCACTGCCACCACTGCCACCACTGCCACCACTGCCACCACTGCCACCACTGCCACCACTGCCACCACTGCCACCACTGCCACCACTGCCACCACTGCCACCACTGCCACCACTGCCACCACTGCCACCACTGCCACTGCCACTGCTGCTACCACTGCCAACTACTAATTATATGCTAGACTAGGGGCATATCCACGCTTGTGATCAGCTTTCCCACATTTGACACCCAGGCTAGCAAGTGGCAAATTGGCTTTTATCGTGTTCACGATTATTCTCACTACGGTTGCCCGGGCTGGTCATTGACCTGATTGTATCTGCTACATGGCCTCTGGGATCTTCAACAGGGGAAGTGCGCCACAGAAGAGTCCCGAGAATTGATCCCCCAGTCCTACTCATTGAGTCTTTGGCCTGGGTTTATGGTAGATCGGTTTGAGGTCTAGACCGATGGAAGATGAAGGACTTAGGGACAACAGAACTGGAGGCTCAGCACAAGCGCCGCATGGTGTTGTCCGGCATCCTCGAGGATGGGCTGACAAGAGTTTTCCGGGCTAAACTGTCAAGCCTGGCTTCAAATCCCTTACCAACTCCCCATCTGGAAGCCTCGAGCTCTATCTTCAAAATGCCTCCAACTCAATGCGGCCTGGTCACCCAGCCGGACAATCGAAATGCTGAAGCGCCAAACTGCCAGGACGACCAGATCTTGCCTCCTGTGCCTCCCTCCCTTGCGGCACGTGGTATTGTTTTGCAGAAGGGGAAGGACGGCACCCTCCAGTATATGTGTCAGAAGTAACTGGGAGCAATTCAGGGTTTCAGAGCTTTGAGCTTCGGCCTGAGCATTTTGCCTGCGGTTCTCCTCAGCCCAGGTGCAAAGCGGGTCCATTTCCCACGCTGGATAGACGCTGGGTGGCAGTAGCTTAAGCCTTGTCACCCTCTTGACTCATTCGGACCATTCGGGGTTCATATCGTGTTGCGGTGCTGGTCGCCGTGGGAGTTCGTATAAAGACTTGAAGTTGCCCGGAAACATGGTGGCCGTGTGTTTCTAAGTAAGCATCCGAGGTGTGGACTCGCACCTGCATGGTGCCAAGCACCTGCACAAGGATCGCAAGCAGATTTACTGCGACAAGAATCAAAAAAGCAACTGGCTTTGGATCGTCGTGCTGTTGACGTTTACTTCGTCTTCGATAGGTGGGGACTTGCATCATTTTGCTATTGCAGTCGCAGTGGACTTGTGAATGAGAGCTATCATGCAGACATTCCCGTGCCCTTTTTTGCCTTGTACGTAACTCGCCGCCCCGAAAATTCACCTTTCAAAGGCACGAGGTCGTCAAGGGAGGTTGCAGACGTTGCCCGCATTCGCCTTTGTCATGACAGAAACGCGTTTCGTGCGGGTTTTGCATATGGGTTGTCTTGCGGAAGTCTAGCACGGGGGCCGTTTCGGTGACGAGGTCTTTGTCTTGGGGGCAAAGCATCCTTGGGGTGGATGTGGAGGGTTGGGGGGGCGCTTGATTCCGTTCTTGGTCCACTGCCTTTCGTCTTCCATTGCTGTGCCTATCGCTTACCGTGCCCCCGCATGCAAAGTCTGAACACACGCATGTGCCAGAAAACAATTGTTTTTGCCACTTATTTAATAAGCGGGTTATTTGTGTCGAAACCACAGTGCCAGTCGCATGCGTTCCTGAAATTGCACGACTTGTCGGGGCGACGAGTGGCGTGCATGCCTTGTTTTTCATGGCAGATCAGACCTCCTCCCTAACTTTCATCTACAAAGCCAAGGCCCGAGTGTCCAAGCCTTGAGCCCCCAGGAAGTCTTTTGAATGCACAAGGCCTGTCCCAGCCCGCATAACGCAAGAGACCTGAGGCTCCAAGTTGCGTGTGGACTTGAGCGGACCGCATCCGCTAGGTCGCTAGGTCTTGGCCGCAACGGCTTAAGCCTCAAAGTTGCGTGTCCAAGTCCAAAAAACACAGCGTCGCGCTCCGAAGCTCCCGCCGAGCGAAGCTGCGCTTCTTTCGTGCTCCGCAGGAGGGCCGAGAGCCGGAGCTGCAACTCACCCCGGAGCTTCAAAAGGCCAGGCCCCCTTAGGCCCTAGATGGCCCTAGGCCGCAGCAGGGGTCCATATTGGTATTTCTGCAGGCGAAGATGTCTAAGATGTCTACAGTGATGAAGTCTGGGCTTGAAGAGCCTGTGCTTGTCCTGCAAGGAGGGATTTGTTCTCTCAGCCGCCGGAGAGCTGGAGCATCTGAGCTGCACAGAGCATATTCCTTGGCTACAGTGTTTATTACTCTCCTTGCTGCTGCTCCCATGAAGTGCTGCTGCCGCTGTTATTGTTGTTTGTCTGCTCCTAACAACAACAAGGCCCGTTGATGCTGGGTTTCTGAGAAAAGGGTCTCATCATCATGAGTTCTAGTTGTTCCTCAGGGTCCAGCTTTGGTCCCGTGTTTTCTGGAACTCCAGCATCCTGAGTCCTTGCGTGGCACTGAGCCCTGCCACGTCTTGCGTTGAGCAGCTAAGGTGTCGCCTGTGTGAAGCAGGCCCATTTCGGGATCGGCAGAGTCTGAGGCCGGATCGGCGAGGGTTCGAGCCATCACAGGCCTTTCATACGGTTGAGGTTGTGAAGGGTGTACAGTGTACAGGTACACTCTACTCTCTAATCCTCGAGTTCGAAGTTTTTTTGCGATGTCCCACACAGGCTCCATCGCCAGTCCTTGCAGCATAGAGGCCACGGCGCCACATGTGCCAGGCCGCCAAGGAGAGGGCAAAGCCTGTCTTGTAAAAACACGTTTCGGGATGTTGGGTTTAAAGTTACATTCTCTTCCTGGTGTAGATGCTTCTTGGCAGCTCTTGTTGCTTGACGATATCACGAGTTTGGGCACCGCCTGGTATCGTTAGCACCCCCAAGAAGATAAATCTTACTTACTTCGCACATGCCATCCTGCGACGATGTCTTAGGCCGTGCAATAGCGAAGATAAGTCTTACTTCGCACATGCCATCCTGCGACGATGTCTTAGGGCGTGCAATAGCTTTCTGCGCTGTTCAGGATGGAGGAGGAATTGCGAGAGCTTCCAGGTTACTGCAATCTGTTGGGCAACGCATTCTGCTGCTTCCTCTGCGATGTGTCCGCACCATCCCTGGTGCCTCAGCTGAGCGTCAGCAAGTCTTTCAGCAGACTGCACAGCCCTTAAGAGTCCATGGAACGGCACGCGTGTGCACAGAGGATGGCATGCTGCAGCATCTTGCGGGCAAGAGCCATCGAAAGGCCATGGGCCGCGCGCATGTGCAAGCACGTAGCATCGGTCGCGCTCCGCTTTGGGGCCGTTTTTTTGGGAGGCGTGTCAGGCCCACGGCGAGCCGGAGCCGCTGATTCTCTGCAAGGACCTCGTGTCGGAGCAGGATGCCGGGCGGGGCCGAGCCGGGCCTAGCCTTTTTTGGACTCGCCTTGAGATGCCGTGGTTCGGGCTTTGCAGGTCTCCGACGTGTACCCCTTGCAGGGCCGGCTCCGGGACGTCGACCTGGAGCCGTTCCCCGGCGGGTGGTGGATTGAGGGCCCAGTAATCCAAACGGTCTCACGTGGGATGAAGTGAATAGGTTTTCAAATCGAAGAAAATTGAGGCGGGGCATTTGCAAGCTTTTTGTCCTTGATTCTTGTCCTCATTGTGCCTGTCGAAGCTTCCGTGGAGCTATCTTCAGACTTCAATCTCTTAACCAAAGCCTCAACACGCCCAAAACCCTTCACCCCAATCCACCGAGGCGCAACAGCCTGAGGCTGCTGATGTCCCCTCCAAGCCCTAATGTGTGGAACCTTCAAGACTGTTTCCTACAGGCTCTATCACCGAAAGTCAAGACGTATCTCCCTCCGCCAGCCCTGCGAGCCTACGCCCAGAAGAGCTGAACTCCCCAAGCCCAAAACGTACGAATCTCAAGGATCTTCAGAAAAGGCGCCGGCACTTGGCAGGAAGCCGGACCTGGCCAAAAGAAGCCACAGGGTGGCTCGAATTGCAAGAGCGGTTCAGAAAGGTCTCAGATTTGGAGCCAGAGTGTTGTTATTAGAACAGTTTGCTTCCTTATTGTCTTATCTCTCGGGGTGGTGCCGCTTGTGCACGGCTTTCTTTGGCATCATTGCCCTTATACTTGTGATTCATATCAATTCTTTTGCCGACGGCAGTCGTCATTTTCATCATGTTGCATGTTGTCATTCTCAGTAATGTTTCGTTCCCATCAGCCTTCAAGTGCTGCTATACTACAGCCACTGTCAGGACTTTGGGTATTCGTGAAGGCGCTGTGGGGTCATTGTGCGCATCGTGCTGTACTTTGCATTTCGCAGCGATGTGAGAGAGGTTCTAGACGTTCCAAGCGGCAGGGAATGCTTGAGAGCGATGACGACTATGGTTGTGAGCGAGGGTGATGATCAAGCTTTTTCCATCTAGCCTCCGTCTCACCGAAGCCCTAAATTGTTTTGTCCTGTGAGCATTTGGGGCAATGTGATATCCGACTTCCTCGACCGTCTGATCTGAGGTGTGGCTGCCTCAGAAGGTTTGCCCAAACCGTCGCAGCCCTAGGCTCGTCTTCGCCCCATGACACAATCTTTGAGAGAACTCTGGCCCAGGCCTCGCGCAATGGTTTCCAAGGATGATGTTGAGAATGGCAGCGACCCATCCTACCTGGCTGCAAAAGTGGGGGACAAAGTCATCGTTGTGTCAGACGACGCCGGGAGTCCTTGGGCAGCCAGGCTTGCAATTGAGCGCCTTTATCGTAGCCGGCACTTTCCAGATTTTCTTGGGTTCGTAGCACCAACAACAGCGGAGCAAGTGTTGGATGCTCCACGGGCACAGTCATATGGAAATGCTGTTCATATCAGAGGAGATTTTACGAGGAACGCATGCCATGCCGAGGTGCAGGGTTGGACAAGGCTGAGGACTTCTGCTTTAGAGTAGAGGCTGTTTGCGCTCTTCATTGCAGCGTTTCGTGTGTCGCCGGAAACTCGGGGTCAAGCCCTGGTTGCGTGCACGCGACGCAAAGGTCTGGGCAGAGATCAATGAGCAGAGAGGCCAGGGCTTTCGCCGGAAGCACGCGTATCCCGGCATCCCGAAACCCTGATACCCTAAAGTTTGAATCTTCTCGTTTGTGCCAGTAAGTAGCAATCAAGACGAACCAACTTCATTGATCACAACAAGACTCCTGGTCGCTGTGGCATGCTGTGGCAATAAGCGTAAGACCGTGAAATGCGTAACAGTGGAAGTTAGAATGATCGCCTTTATGCTGGCCGTAATGAAAATTCATCCCTCAGGCTGGTTTCCCAGAGATGCGCTCGTCAAGAAGCTTCCACCTTGGAAGCTCAAGAAGGTCGGGTGGTGATCGGTGCAGTCAGTGTTGAGAGATGACAGCACAAGCACCCGTCGAAGGCCGCGAGCAAGACCGCGAAGGCCAGGGTTCGTTTGCTTTGCCTGTGAGCCGGGGTGCTTATGGTGCTTGGGGCGGCAGGGTTTCCGGGTTTCGAGCTTAGAGACCATGAGCGGAGAGGAGTGTTGCAAGCAGCAGCTTGACCGACTGCCGAAACCGAAAGCGAGCAAATTCCAGGCAGCCGGCCCCACCACACCCGCGCCGCCGCGGGTTATGGTTGTCCGTGCGGAGCCATTGAACTTTCCTGATGTGCCGGTCGGCCAGCAGTCGCTACATGCTGAAGCTGGTGACGAGGTTAGGGACATGGGGTTGAAGGATCACGGAACCGACGGACCCTGGACCTTCAAGCGAAAAGGGTCCTTCTCAATCTGGAATCTTTGGCAGGTCACCATCCTGATGGTCGGTGAAGGCGGTGACTGGGTTTGGGCGGAATGCAAAGGCGAGCAGGGGATGTTCCCAAGAAGGTTTCTGGAAGAGCGGGAAGCCTTCGAGAAGGCAGCTTGGCCGCTTCCATTGTTGAGACGGAGGTTTCTGAAGCTGAGCCTTCCATCCGAAAGTGTTGAAACCTTCGAAGCCCAAGGTGGAGCAAGGCGTCCTGGAGTCCGACTTTGAACTTGGAGTCACCCCACCGGAGACGCCCTTGGACTGGTCGGATGTCGGCCGAAGGAGCCTTGCAGCATGGTGGGATCGCTAAAGTGACTGTAGTGTCCCTTTCTTGATGGTATTCTGGTTCTTTGGCAATGAAGTCCCGTTGGTTTCTTTTTCACAGCCCCAGCGACCTGTGCAATTGCTTGCTTGCTTGCTTGCTTGCTTGCTTGATGTTGCTTGCTTGATTGCAGGCTTTCCGCGATCTGCTGCGCATGTTGCGCGTCGTGTCTACTTGCATGTCGACTCAGTCTCAAATCTTTTCGTAGAATGCTGCTGTCGGTGTTGTCGTCGTCGTGGTTGTTGTTGTTGTCGTCGTTGTGGCTGCTGTTGTCTTGTTGGGTATTGAGCTTTGCGGCTTTGAGGCAGCCTTTCTTTGGGATTTGGGGAGCTTCAGCTCGGCTGGGCAGGCGACGGGAGTTTCCCCAAGGATCCTGTCAAGAGCTCATCCAGCCCCCCAATACCCTAAATCGTAAAGCAATTGAATCCCAAAATCCTAAAATATCTGCTCTAGCCCTAAACTCCCCAAATCCTAAATCGTAAACTCCCTCAGGTGTAGGATCCTTTTGCCTCATGAAGGGTCCGCACAGAGTCTTTGTCGGAATTCAGGTTCTACGAAACCACAAACCCCAAAACCCTGCCTCGACTTCTCAACGACTCGTCTCGCGCCAGAGGAGGAGATTCTACACTGCTGAAGACGTCACCGAAGCCTTTCTCCGGGTTGCGAAGATGCGTCAGGAGCGACTGGAATCCCAGTGTCCTGCCCTCCTGGTGTTGGGTTTGGAATCAGGGTTGAGGGCGCAGGGTGTCTATATTTCAATCCTGTTCGGAGCCTCGATGCGGCATGTTCGCTTTGCTGTTTTGCAACGAAACGTTGTACGTCACCTAGAGTTGGCAACATGTTACAGAGGGCCGAGGATCTCCAGCTGAGGCAGATGTCGGCATCAGAAATTCTGAAAGAAGCGATTCGAAAGACGTCTGAAAAGTTTGGCTCGCGACCGTTTATGCCACCAAAGAAGTACCGGTCTGCCAGCATCCCCCGAGAGCGGCACCACTGGCAAGAACGATCCGGATTTCGCAGCCGACGGGCTTACGGTCGAAGTCGACCGCATGGAAGGATGAGCAATCCCCCATATTTGTGCCAGGCAGGTTGAGTTGAAGGCAAGATGCCATCGAGTCGGCGGCAGACAGTCATGTCACTGGTGAGTCCGTGCTGGTGATCTATGCGGGAATCCGTGCGGACGAAAGCCAGTCTCATCACCAACGAACAGCTTGCATGAAGCGAGAAGGACGAGGTTTTTTTCCGAAGACGCGCTGACCATGTCCAAGACAACGAGCACCCTCGATGACCACCGCACGGCAGCTCGAGCCGTCCAAGAGCGGTGATCAGTTCCTCCAGCAAAAGTCCCTCCGATTGTTTGCTGAACCACAGGCTCCCAAAACGAGAAGGAGCCAAGTGCTGAAGGAAATGGGAATCCCTTTGCCGCTGTGCCAGCGCTCGCTGCGTGTACATGGATCCTGGTTTGAAGCCAATGGGGCCGCTTCAACGAAGGTTGGATCTCAAGTCAAAAAGCGCGCGATCTTTTGCTTGGTTTCGGCAAGACAAGAATCTTGTGTGCAATGTGTCCCAGCTAGGTCGCTGGTGCCGAACATGCCGCGGAAGAGGCGACAAAGGAGGGTGAGAAGGCGGGCGAACTGACACCTGCATACACCTGCCGAGCGAGCTTGAAACGGTTACCAGTTGCTTGTGCTGGAGGCGACGGTGTCGGTACTGCGATTGCCACCACTGCTACTGCTGCTACTGCTACCACTGCGTGGCTACTGCTTGCTGCTGCTACTGTGGTCACGACCACGGCTTATCGCCAACTCCTGGCGCCACCGCCACCACCGTCGTCATTATCATCACCAGCACTGCCAGGATGATCGGCATCACTGCCATTACCGGCATCACCAGCATGACCTGCATCAACAGCATCGCCAACATTATCGTCATCGTCGTCGTTGTCGTCGTCAGCAGCATCATCATCATGGCTTTGGAGGAACACAGAATGTAAACGATCTGCAAGTTGTGGCATGTCAAGATGAATAACAGAAGCATCATCATACTGCGTGATGCTTGCTGTTGCTGCTGCTGCTTCCGTTGTGTTGTCCTGGTCGTTGTTGTTAGTGTTGCTGCTGTTGGTGCTGCTGCTGTTGCTGCTGTGATTGTGCTGGTGATGTCCCTGATGAAAGAATAAGATCTGACGATGGTTGTCGCTGTCGTGTGGGACGTTGTTGTTGGTACTGGCAGCGGGTTGAGTTTTGACGAGATAAAAGAATTTTAATGAAGCCTTGCTCTGCCAGGCTAAGCTAAGCTGTCCACAAGTTTTGCAGCTCAGCAATCTTTCTCGGACGTGGATCCAGGTCGTAAATGAGGTGGAGAATGCGACCTTGCAGGCCCAGCCGATGTTCGGTTTAATCGCACTTCCGGACTTGAGGTTCATGATATTGGACTGAAAGTTTCAACAGGAGCAGGAGTCATAGTGGTAGTTTGCTTAGTAAGTACCAAATCATGACGTAGTGGGTAGTAGGGTGGATGTAGTATGCTGTACGTGTTCAGTGGTAAATTACCAGATGATAACCACGTCGACTACTACTTTAATCTTGTCATGTGTTGTGAATAGTCTTGTAACCAAGTTGGTAGACCAGGGATGTGACGATGCTGTTTGTCAGTCTTAATGCTGGTAGACAGACTACTTGTGAGAATGTCATCAAGCAACAGCAGTAGCTGTATTCCGCAACTTGCTTTCGTTGTACAGACTGTGACAAGCCCAAGTCTCTAAATCTTGCTGCACGAGGTCGTTCCACGCGTCGTGAATGCCACGGAAGCTTTGCTTGCCAAAAGCACAAAGTCGGCCCATAAAGAAATCAAGGACTGCCTGAGCTCTAGATGGAGGTCCAAGGCTGTTTTCGGAGTTGACGGCGGGATGGGTGGGGGTTCACAGAGTGACCACACATCTACCCACTGTCCCACCGTGAAGGATGTGTCCGACGCGGCCAGGGAAGGCGCGGTGACCGTGGTGAAAGGCCGGAATGATGAAACGATGATAGTGTTAAAGTTGGAGCAACAGTAGTGACAATGCAATGGACACCAACAGACACAGTTCTTTTTGCTATCTTTAGACCGGAGAGTCCAAGCCAAGACAAGGCTTGATCAAGCCGAACACGCTCACCACGACCATCAGGACTGGCTCTTGAGACGTGTGATCTGGAGAACTGCCGGGGCGGAAGAATGTGGGTCTTTGAGATTGTTGCTTCTTGCCAAGGCCACTAGAAGTTCCAGCGCCACCGGCGCGGATTCCCTACAGGCTTGGGCGTGTGCACCGGAGACGACCAGCATTCGCGCAGTGCAGAATCGACATTTTTGAGGGACTTCGTGTCGCCCGCAGCTGCGACGGTGGGGCCTCTGACCCAGACCTTCGTGTTCTTCTGGTTACTTTTTCTCATACCTCGCGGTATGTAATATGTAACACAAACACACATGTAAGATAAATGTAGCTGTACGTAGCTGTACATAAACATGTATTAACTTAATACCGTGCATACATGCGTAATACCTGCCCTACCTGCCTGCCTACCCACCGACCTGACGACCGACCGATCAGCCGACCCGCTGACCTCCCGACCTACATAGATGCCTAAACATATATTGATACATAGATACATACATACGTAGATACACAGATTTGCAGACTATTGTGCACACAGTCACATAGATACAGAGTTACATAGCGCACACATGCATACGTGGCTAGATAGAATGATAGATAGACAGACAGAGCTAGGCACATGCATCCGTGCATATATGCATGAAGGCTGTCATACGTACATACACGCAGCACGCACATACGTACATCTGTACATGCGTACAAATGTATGTACATACGCTAATATCTTCATGTGTACATGCATACATACATGCATACGTACATCTGTGCATACACCTCCACATATAAGACACATACGCACATGTTGCACGGACGCGTGTCTTCTGGTGCATCGTCTTCACCGTACGTCGTGCAGGTGTGTTCGTAGATTATGTCATACTGTGCCACGGACCATACAAAGGACCGCCCTTGCATTCCACCCCGATCTATGAAACTCTTCTGTATCCAACGCACCTTCAGCCCGCATCCTCAGGAAGTCCATTCTCTACTGGATCATGCCCATCGCGCGGACCTCAGGTCTGTGAATCCGGTACATTCCTTAGGTGTGAAAGACAAAGACGGGTTCGTTTTGATGAGGTTTTCTGGTTGTTCAGGTGGCCGATCTCTTCTTCATCTCCTTGGCTTTCGTGCTCTTCGAGTTGGCCATGGGGGTTGGCAGGCGCCCTGGGCTGTGTCTTGTGTTTCAGGCCTGGGACGGCAAGAACTGCGATGGCTCAGGCTTCAGGCTTCAGGTTTTTCTGTTTTATTTCTTGGGTACGATTGCCAGGTACAGTTCGATCTACCGCGAAGACGGCCTGGTTCCGAGCTTCAGTTCTCGAGCCATTCTCAGAGCCACTGTTCGCACGGCCTTGAACCCACCCACACCCACACCCACACCCATGCCTTTGTGAAGAATTCCAGGAGTCTGAAGCAGCACCACAGTTGTAAGCAAGCATTACGTAGAGTAGGTTCAGCAAGCAGAACCAGTGTGAGAAGCGGACTAAGCATGCTACTTGCGATTGCCATCGTCGCTGCAGCATTCAACATATTCATACTCATCCTGTCTCATGCTCATCCTATTAAGGTCCTATTACTCTTCGCTGTCACTCCTCCATAGTACTCACCGACAGGAAGGAGAGAACCAAGCCGTTGACTAGGCCTCGTGCGCACAGCTAGCGGCCTGCTAACGGACATCTGCTCCGGCTGGGCTGGCAGCTCAGATGCTTTGAAGGGGTTAGGCCCGGTTACGCCATCTATTAGGGTATCAAATATGAATACACTTTAGGATACTGTATACAGATGCAGTGCAGCAAAGTATCGTACCACAACTCCCATGCGCTACAAGGGTCTGCCGGGATTTCTTGCATGGGCTGGCTTGACGGAGGTTGTCAGAGTCGGCTTGACATGCTATACCATGATACTGTAGTCATATGTCATCGTGCAATATGCAGTTTTCGCAAAGATCCGAATCGATCGCGGCTGAAACTACCCGACGCCATTGAAGCTCGGCACCTGCTGCTGAAAGGGCCTTGGCACCCGAACCCTAAATCCTCATCAGGTCCTACTTCCGCACGATGCACAACCCCCGAAGCACGAACTCAATCCGTTGGGCCCCGGCCTTCACCCTAAACCTGCTCTTGGCGTTAGAGAATTCGAAGTGAGAGTGGCACCCGGTACAAAAGCTTGAAGCGGTCGGCGATCCCAAGTACTTCTGACTGACCCCAGAGGCTTCAGCAAAAACTAAGCCAAACCCAGTAGAGACCAACCCTTCATCCTGTCCCCACCCCCAGGTCTATGGCGCTTGCGCTCTAGTGGCCTGCTGGGTGCTTGGGATCCTCCTAGCGCAGGCCCGATTAAGCGTGGAGCAGTTCGATTCATGCAGGGTTTGGGGTTTTCTGAGCAAGTGAATCGTGATCATGGCCATGTGCAGACCTGGTTGGTTGCAGAATCTCTGGCGGAGCTGAGCTGCCTCTAGACTTTAAGCTGTCGATTCCTTTTGGGTCTGGGTCTTACAGTCTTACGGCTCTTTACGACTTGGGACTTGATGGAATCCGCGTGCTAACTTTGACAGAAGGCTGATGAGCCCTACAGTATTCCAAGCCGCATGCTTTTTTTTTTTTTTAATGTTTTGCTCTTATCAGTGGCTATGCGGCTATGTAGTTGGGCCAGGAGCTTCGTCCCATGGCGGAGAAGATCCAGGCCCGGCTTCGAGATCCTGAAACTCTTGATGGGTTTTGGTTTTGCTGGGCCTTTGCTTTTGTGGGTTTCGGGCTTGAGGAGCCCAGGTGACGTTGATGATGATCATGGACAGTTGGGTAGCTCTGAGCTTCGTTTCCAGTTACCAGTTCTGAGGTCACTCCGGCAATCATGGTTTCCCTGGGGTTGAAAGCAAGACTGCTGGATTGAACGCTGTATCGGCTATGGACCCTGGTGCTGAGACCTTAAGGCCTTAAGGTGCACGAGCTCAG